ATAGTAATAATAATTATAATAATAATTATTCATAGTAAATAAAAATTTTAATAATCATACACCAAAATAAAATAATAATGATTACAATAATAATAATAATAATAATAATAATAAAATATAATAAAATTAGTAATAATAATAATAACAATAATACTGTAATAATAAAATAATAATACAGTAAAGAAATACAAGAATGAATAAAAGATCAAAAGTGAGAAACACGACCTAGACCTATGAATTAATAATAATATTATTATTATAATTTTTATTACTGTATATTTTAGACCCCCAGGCCCCAATGTGGGTCAGTGATCTATGCCCGGGTGGGCTAATACACAAAAAAAAAAAAAAAAAACCCTAACCATTTTGAAAAACGAAAAATTCCGAAAACCGAAATGCCTCTGGCCCCAAGGATTTTGGATAAAGGATTGTCAACCTGTATGAAGAGAAACCATAATAGAATGATTGAATAAGATGCCAATTGGCCTATGGTTAATTTTTTAATTTTTTCTGGCTGAGGCAAAATATTGAAAGTTTACTAATGAATGTAACATGATACAGAACACTTCATCATATATACAGTACTGTAGTTTTATCCAAATGCTTGTGCTTATATGATCTACGGGTCTATTCAAGTGACTTCTGAGAACATAACCACCAAACACTATCTGTATCTATCATGAAGGGTATATAATTTAATTACAGGTTACACTACAGATAAGGTTTGATAGTGAAATACTGTACTGTATACCTATATGCTGTAAGTAGTGCTTCTCTCCTGTTGTGGTTCTGATCATTGCATCACATAAACCAATGGCTGCCATGAAACCTAGTGAGGATTCTGTCACTTACCCTAGTCGATAGCATCCTCTCTGGCTAATTAACTCTCTCGCTCTCTCTTGGAATTCCACGTCAGTTAGTGGTACCAAATAAGTTACTTAAAGAATTCCAACTGATAACCCACCTGCTTATGGTGATCAGCCTAAGTATGGTCCTTCAACTTCTATTTTAAGAGAATAAGTACACGTTGTTTTATTACTGATGTTCACTAGTGCAATATCCCCCAAAAAATTATCATGATTACATTAGAGTTTTAATGGACTAAAGTGAGTGGTACTGCACTGTATTTTGATGGCCTTGTTTGACTTGCCAAAGTTTACAGTACATTGTACAATGTGAACTTCTCTGACATGTCATGTGCCCCTTTCCCTGAGACAGACAGTATTGTATAGTTATTTTATAGGATTTCATATTTCTATCCCTTATGACTTAGATCTTCAGAATAGATATGATAAATTCACTGCCTCAGAAGAAATAAGTTTTTGGTCAAATTGAAAATACTGTATAGTCACTAATTTAAAAAAAAGAAAATAACTTTAAATATTCATTCTTACTAAGTTATTTTTCAGCAGTCATTAAATAGTTGATATTCCATGTCATAGTGGTTTTTTATCCTCTTCAGAGTTTTAATTCTTTATCTTCTGATTAATCATTTAATCTGATATCATGAATAGTCCTAAGTGGGACTTTTTTATTATTGTGTCAAGATATAGAAAGATGGGAAATAACACCACTTGATCTAGTATTAATCTAACCCTTTCACTGCAACTAGCAAAAGACCTAGCACCCACCACCTTTATGACACGTTTAAACCAAATTTAAAACTAGATATACACACACTACACTAATCATTTATTTCATGGCAATACAATAAGCACCAGATACCATTTTATATATTAAATCCACTCAACCCCTTACACTCCAAAAGCCTGTATCTAAGGCTTTGCTTCCTTAATGGCCTTTTAATGAAGCATATCATTTAAATTCATTACGGGTAAAGGTTCTCTGCTAAATTATTCTTCTTCAAATATCTTATCATGGAGGGTGATAATATTTACTTTTTTTTATCTTATTTCTAACTGATACTGTGCAGTACAGTGCAGTACAAAATGAAGGAAGATGGGAGGGTTTCCAGTTTTAAGTTAATAAACCAGAGACAATCATTATGGCTTAGTGACCCTGAATTCTTATTGGGCTTTGAGCCAAGTACTGTAATTGTTTACAGAATTAAATGATTCAGAACCAAATGGGTGCGAGATGCTACTTTGTGAATATTTTGTCATTGTTTAACCTTATCCATTTGGATAATATTACCTGTCATTTAACTATATGGCCACTGATAGGCACGGTGTAATTCTCACTGTTTTCTTTCCAGTCATGAAATAAAATTTCATGCTTTATTCCTTTATTTTTATTTTTTTAACCAAAGTCCATTAATTTTGTTTGTGTAACCTCTGTCCTTGGAACTTATATAATTTGTTTTCTTATCACTGTACAGTATAGTATATATTCCAGAGGTCATGGCACAGTTTATAATGATCTCCATAATTTAGCTCTACAGTATTGTATTTATATTATTTAGTAAGAGTTATAATTTTAGTCTTCAATAGTAATTCCAAAAGCATGTATCCAATGTACAGTCAAATATCAGAAGTATTGAAAAGCAAATTTTGACAATGATTCAGCCTCGTCAGTTGGTTTTGTCTTTCTCAATGTAGAGTACAGTGTGTGGTGGTGTTGAAGGTCCTGTAATCTTGGTCTTAACTTGGATTATTGTAGCATTAATAAATACACATTTAGTACTGATATTTTTGTGGTTCTCGCTTTTTGGTGCACAACAAAATTGAACTTATTTCTTTATACTGTACTGTATATTAGATAATAGCAAATGCACATTAACAAAACAAACAAACAAAAACCACATTCATTCATACATGTTAATATGTATGTAAGTATGTTTTTAATTATCTTTGGTTGACAAAACTGCCTTTCTATTGTATATATGCAGTAGTACTGTACAGTACTTCTTAATCTCATTTTGGAAAGACCCATGTAGAATCATTGCGAGTGATATGCCGTTATTTGTTTTGTAGTGTGTGCCAACAATGTTTATTATTTTCTTTACCTTACTGTTTGTAGGTTCATCTGAAAAATACTCCTAATTATTAAAACTGAAAGATTGAAAAATTATGATAATTGCTCTTTTGTTTTAAAGTGGTAATTAATAACATCTGCACTACCTTAGCAAAATAAAATGATTATAAGATGTAAACCGTACGTACTGTATAAATAGTCTTGGTCTTTCTCATCTACCATGAACTTCTCTGAGATTTAAAGAACAAGTATCTTTACTGTATAATATGTCACTCATGAGAACTGGATGTCCAGAGTACTTGTAATTGTTACTGTATTAGACTTTGATAACATATAATTTGGTTTACACTTAGAGTACAGTACAGGACTTAATTATTTCAGTACGTACTGTACTTATCATCATGTTGAATATCCAGCAGACGTTTCCTATGCAGTGCATTTATTTTTTAAGAAGACTGTTGTTTCAAACAAATATGAAAACAGGTTACCTGCATCTGCTCTTTTGTATCTAATGTTCCCTATTAGTATACATATTCATATGTATAGAGAGACTGTTACAGTGCTCGTGTTATGGCTGTATAATGTTATCCTGTATGTACATATTGTAATTTGGATTGTGCCAATGTTGAATGTAAATATATATATGGAATGAGTATTAATGGATATTTTCATCTGCCCTAATCATCTGTAATTAACTGCTGCAAATGGGTGATGTGTTTGTGGGGTTATGAGATATTGGTTCACACTCAGGATGGTTTGGAGAAAGGAAACTCACAATGTGCTCTCTGTATACATATTGTATTGGATGTACAATGCAGCTTGGTGCTTGGGAGTGGCAGCGTGTGTCCAAGCATGGAGTAGAGAGAGCTGGTTGGTGAGGGTGCTCAGAGGAGGACACGCAGCTTGTGGGGAGCCATAGTCGCCGGCGGGGTCGGGAGCCACCAGGCAGGAGCAGAGGTGGTGTTGCTTGCTGCGGCCGAGCTAGAAGAAAGAGGGAGGTCACGACGGGGTGAGGTCTTATATAGCGGGGGTAGGCGTGGGTTGATAGTTGACCTCCGTGTTGTTAGGCGGCGCTGGTTGCTGACCTAGACCACGAGGCGCAGGCTGGGGAATTCGAAGAGGGTCGGCTAGTCAGCGACAAACGGCAGTTGTAGGGGAGGTATGCACTACATTTTATGTAGCAACAACAAGGGTGTAACCCATGGTGGAAGGGGAGGGGCATAACCTCCAAAGTTCTCTGCTACGAGGGATTATTAATGTAATCATCCCTCTCTTTCTGTCTTGTCATACTTTTTATACCCTTGTCATTGTGGGGGAGGTAGATAAGAAACACGAATTCAAAATGACCATTTCATAAATGAGATAATAATGGCATAAATAATTCAGAGTCACGGAGGTGTTGCAATACTAAGGGGTTTACCAGTTTCCATGTATACAGTAAGGACCCAAAGTACAGTTGCGGCAATGTGTTCCTACATCCCCTGTGGTAACCCAAGTCTCCAAATGGCTAACCTATTATGACCTATAGCAAACCCTATCCACCAATCACGTCCGTCGTTACACACTCAATACCCATCCATTAAAAAATAGTGATACTACTACTGCGACGTTATCATTTGGAGTTACTTTGCAAGATTACCAATATGCATGCCGGTCATTATATATATATATATATATATATATATATATATATATATATATATATATATATATATATGTAGATCCACAATGAAAACATGGATAAGATAAATCTTGATAAAGACGAAAGCTAAGGTGCTCCATTGTTTCCCTTTTCCCTGTGTGATTTTATCAATACAGTGTATATATATATATATATATATATATATATATATATATATATATATATATATATATATATATATATATAGTGTGGCTATTATGAAGTGTGTGTGTGTACACGCACGCACATGCATACAAGGTAGAGGAGGTGGAGTGAAAGGGAGGGTGAGTGTGCCGTGGTGACATGTGGCGGCTCCGGCAGCAGTTTACTGGCAACCTCGACGCCGACACAATACGGCACCAGTCTTGTCCGTGTTCCCTGATTTCCTGAATCTGTGGATGGTGCGAAGTCGGTAGACGCTCAAGTTAGCTTCTGCTGGCGCTGGATACTGTTATTTAACATACATAAAGTGTTTCAAAGTAGATTTTTGCAATTAGAAAAGAAGAAGTCAGGTAAAAAAAAAATGGATCACCTGAAGAATCATCGCCCCAGCTTATTTCACCTAAAGATTAAACCACCTTAAAACTATTTTGGGAGGATGTTAGGTTAGGATATGTTAGGTTAAGTTAGCATTAAGGTAGTTAATCTTCAGGTGAAATAAGCTGGGGCGATGATTCTTCAGGTGATCCACTTTGACTACTAATTACTGTTCATGCTGTGCAGTATGCACGAAGAAAAGGTTAATATAGAGGAATAACCAGTGAGCGAGTTATTTTTATTACTGTTCCTTACAATATTTTCATCAGTGAGTTCTGATATGATAATCATTTATTGTGGGAATTGATCGTTTTATGGATAATTAGGCGCCTAAGCGCGCACTGTTTATCTTGTGGGCGGTAAAGAAGACCTGCAAAGAGGATGCCCTCTGCTGAGGCTTTTCCAGTTTCCCTCGCCCGGGCCAGGTTGTTTTACGGCATTTCGTGTAAAAGTTGTCGCCGATCTTACAGGACGTAATTTGTGAATTTAGGGGTAAAGACAACGAGACCCTTCAATTGTTTAAAGATCACGGCATTGTTCCTTTACATAGACTATTTATTTTTGTTACATTATTTTCATCTGTGAGTTCTAATATTATGATAATTATTTATTGTGGAACCCGCCAACACAGTGAATCACTCCGCCGCCCGGGTGCATAGCGCCGATGCGGCCGTATCATCTCACGTCCAGAAAATGTCTCAAATTTCATCATATCATAGTAAGTTCTTTCTGTTTAATATACTGAGGAGTACTGGGGGGCAGAGGAAGTTAGGTAAAGTTAGGTAAGTTTGTTTGGTTAGGTTGGTTAGGTCTGTTCTTCATACCCACAAATGTTAAGTAACGTTTATTTTTTTAAATACCCAATTTTTAACATATTTCCTCAAACTACAACAGTGTCCACTATAATATAACAGTGAAAATCCGGTGTTTTCGTATAAAAAAAATTCAGTCAATTTCGCTTACTGGTTAGTCCTATATAATAACCGAATAAAAATAACACATACTTGATGATGCTCATATAATAGAACTGTTAACCAATTTATGTCGCTGCTCCTGCATCCAACCCACAGTCCAGCTTTGAAATTTGTTAAGCTATTCTGCTTACAGAATCAAGATTTGAAGTTTAAAATATACTACTTATGAAAACAGTGACTCAAACAGTGACCTAACAAGATAACTACAGTATTCTTCTGAGCATTGTTTGCGACACTGATACCTCGAGTGCTCTGTGATACATTCTAAGTGAACCCTGCAACAAGCTGAATCCTTGCTTCATGAACTCACATAATAAGTTCAAGGAGACGGAAACCGCTACTTAAATAATTTATAACTCCTAAGTGAATCAACGACTTGCCCACTTTCTTCAGGAAGCACCAGAACACCGCCAGACTCTGTAAGTACTGTATATCTGTTGTGGTTTATATTATAAAACATAATCATTTGATTCTCCATTTATACATTTTCGAGTTGTAAATCCTTGTGTTATGCCTCAGTGTTCTACTTTATAGCAGTCTCGCGTAGTTAAACCTGATGTCGTACCTATTGTTGCTCGGAGGATATTAAAGGGATTTTTTTTAACTTTGAAATAGTAAAATTGGCGGATGAATCACAAAAATAGTTTCCATTTTATATTCTATGCTTCATTTAATCTTAGAGTCAACAAACTAGGGGGAAATTAATAAATAACAGAGACAGCACATAATGTGCCGGGATGTTGCGTATAAATCTTTTATATCCTCCCAGCAACAAAAGTGCGTCTATTATAGTGATTGGTAACTCTGTCCTCGCTCATTTGAGCTACAATAGACGTCCATGCAGAGTAAACATAATTGACGAGCTCCATTGATATTCTAATATATAAAATATTATACAATAATCGCCTTTTCCACGTGTCGTGACCAACACTCATCCTGACAAGATCCTACACAACAAAACCCGAATGGACTTAATAAACACTAACCTTACCACACCACCACCTCTGACAACCTTACCACACCACCACCTCTAACAACAACCTTACCACACCACCACCTCTAACAACAACCTTACCACACCACCACCTCTAACAACAACCTTACCACACCACCACCTGACAACCTTACCCACTAACAACAACCTTACCACACCACCACCTCTGACAACCTTACCACACCACCACCTCTGACAACCTTACCACACCACCACCTCTGACAACCTTACCACACCACCACCTCTAACAACAACCTTACCACACCACCACCATCACTAACAACCTTACCACACCACCACCACTAACAACAATATTAGCACACTGTCGTAGCGGAAGTGATGCGAGTGTTTATAAAACTGTGGTGTTTTGCGGAGCGGCTGGTGAATGTCTAGCCTGAGGATGATGGCTACTGCTTAACAGTTTAATTTGGGGATTGTCAACCAAGTAGTTATCTAGGGTGTTATTAGCTGGTCCGTTGCCCCAGTCGTTGTTCTCATGTCGCCTGTTCAGTCTTGGTGAATTTTGGTTACATTAGACTGGTTAACACTTTATACTTTCAAATATCACTGTTAAAACGACCGCACCTGATCGTAGGCTTTTGCTTTTAGACACTAATTCACAATATTGTTCCATTACATAGCACATTATGACTTTAAATTAAGAATAATTTGTTTTATTTGTTGAATGACAAGAGCCACGGACAGTGAGGTTATGAAATACTCAAATATAAGGAAGCGTCGGGAACACATGCCGGCATCATTGACTGCTCCTACCATGATGAAATAAGTGCTTCTGTGAAGGTTAAGATTTATAATCTTTACTACAGTGCACGACAGCGTTTTGTCAGTCCTTCTGTCTGCCTCTTATAGGGTCAGTTGCCATACTTCATAACTGCCATATTTTATAATTGAATATGGAGAGGATTACTGTCGCGTGACGTCATCTGGTCACACTTCAACTTAAGTACATCCTTGAGTTCACATGGGAGGTTCTGGTGACGAGGGTTCTGGTGATTATGGTTCATCCTGTAAAATCCTGATCACTGTCATCTCGCCTCCCCTGCTGGCTGGGAGGGGGGGAGGGGGTGTTCACAGCCAGCGAGGGGAGATTAGTTATCAGCGGAGGGGGAGGCGTGGTGCAGGTCAGGGACTCAGGATTATACAAGACAGGGAATTTAAGTTTTCTCTTATAAAATGTCACTGACTTGAATTGGCAGAATATAACTTACATTGCTGGAATTCTTGCAAGATGTCGATTAACTTGAGTATAAACATTCCACAGTTTGCACTAGTCATACATTAAAATACAGTCATGTTTTGCCAAAAATTATGACATTTTAATGGGGAAAAAAGAAGAGGTTTATGATCCTCAGATTGTCCAATACTACCACTTTTCTACACCTCATGTGTGAAAAGGTCACAAATGGTCACCTGTAATTAAGCAAGTTACTCAAGATTTATCACTGTAAAGATATAAAAATATTGTTCACTGTATCTATTATTGTAGCATATTGTACATAAAGGCAACGCAGTGGTTGGAGGGCCCCACTGACCAATCAATTTCTCAGCTTTGAACCCTCGTTTGTGTTTGTTTCACAGCCGGGACAACCGCGTGGGTTCGTGCGGTCGTGATAATTCATGCGGTTTCTCCGTTATTGCGGTTGTAGTTGCAAAGCTTCGCGACATCACTAATTAGGATTGATCTTTTAATAAATCAATATTTGTCATGATTTCCTTCTGGTTTCAATTAATGAACACTCAAATGTTGGTAAATTTTGATGCAATATTCCTCGAAGAAATACCAAATTGAAATCAGATAACCAATGTGGTATGTGTCTCACTTCATTAATTTTTTCTGCTACTTTTTTAATCATCCTTGACATGATGATCAAATATTTTTTATTAATACATGCAAAAATTTTGGTTAACGTAAATGCGAAGTTTATGGTAGGAACAGAAAGGGGAATCTAATCTTCTTGATGTCCTATTTTTTTCCACCTGGAGGTTATCGGACCGGAACTGTTCACTCGGCCACGACTGGATACTACTTTATAGGCAGAATATAACATGTCTTTTTATCCAACTACAGTGAACAGTTAATAACAAGGAAAACAATTTGCATTGCTTCTAATTGCTTGCCCGTGTTATGGTTATATTTGTAAATTGTATACTGTATTGCCGAGAATGAACCGGAAGCAGCTTTGGCATTGACTGGAACTGTTCAGTAAGGAGCGATGTCACAGCTCCAGTGAGACGTTTGGCTACGGACCTGGACTCCGGGAGCACTGGTTGCTTGCCAATTATCAGAACCTGTACTACTCGGCAAGGCTATGTCAGTAATGATAGACAACTTGGGACTATAGATGATGCTGAGCAGTTACTTGAGGGAAGCACCTCTGAGGAGGAGCTGGTGTTGGCCTCCTTACATGTTTGTACTAACAGACACAATAATTCTTCCATAACAATGTCAACATTTCTCACGCTGTCCTTCGTTGGTTTCCCACGGGAACAACTTTTCTCTCAGACTCGCTATTCTTAGCGTGGTGCGTCCTGTGGTGACGTGGGTGGGTGTGTCCACAGGGTTAAGGATAATTTTTGAGGTCTGCATAAGTGGAACGTTACCAGGTCAGTTGTCTACACAGCACGACTGTCACGACTCCCCTTTTTTTACTTGCGCTTATAATTTGTTGGTTTCGTCTGGTTAATAGACATTAGCAGATGGTTATCCAATACAATTTTCATGCTAATTCACATTTGTTCAGCATTACGGTATATAGCCAGTGCAGGTGTACAAACAATGGTAAACAGTAGGTTACTATACTAGTCTTGATATCCACGAACCAGGAAGTTTCCCCTACATGGAATAATAAATCATACTTGGTGAACATATATTTCACTTGTGTGTCAGGTGTACAGTGTTAGTCATTGTATATGTTAATAGATGGTGTTGGCGGTGTGGTGTAATGTGTCACTGTTGGTGGACACAGGTATGTAGTTTACTGTGAGCATCTCGACTCTGTCACACTCTCCACCCTACACAACTTGGGATTATTAATAACAGTTTTATTTTGAGAATCACAAATATTTACTATATTTCTCGGTTATTAGAGCAAGTAGTAAACATTGTACATCTGTGAGATATTATGTATTACAGTATTCATAGTCCTTTGACAGGTATTAGTAATAGGCCACAGACTAATTCATTGTAATCCATTGATAACATTACCAGTGAAGCTTATAGTCCTACCCCTACCTGAATTTAAGGCTGGACTGTGATATAAAGTATAAGAATATCTAGTTTATTATAATAAATTCGACTATATTGCACTGAGTATATACAGGTATTTGCAAAGCACTATAGTCATGCCAGCTTTATCATCGACTAAATTCAGAGAGGTCACTGAAGAGCAAGATACACACAACCAAAGTTACGTGACGGCCATATACTCGTTTTTCCTTCTCACTGTGAAGGGAAGAGAGTTAAGAGTCTTGCTTGAGGTAGACTGCTCAAGGCTCTTTCCTTCACTCGCCCTCACCTTCCGCCATAACCACAAGTATTTCCGCACCTTTACTATAGTATCGCTGAGGGGTGATCTAGGTCACAAGGTAACGCGGGTGGATAAAGTCTGAAGCTTGTTGCTTGCACTCTGATTCATCGAGCAAGAGAAAGAGAAATTAGTAAAACTTTATTACAAACTTTGCCAGCTCTCTCTCTCTCTCTCTCCTCATATGTTTAGTTTCACATTTTTTAGGGAGAAAAAATTTTCCGTCAATTATTTTCTTGACAATTGAGGAAACACTCACTGAAGCTCGGGCGAACTCTTGTATATTACTTTCAAAGAGGAAGGTCTAGCACATCCCAGTGAAGGAGGGGAAGGCCTGGCACATCCCAGTGAAGGAAGGACTGGCACATCCCAGTGAACGAGGAAGGTCTAGCACATCCCAGTGAAGGAAGGGAAGGCCTGACACATCCCAGTGAAGGAGGGGAAGGTCTGACACATCCCAGTGAAGGAAGGACTGGTACATCCCAGTGAAGGAGGAAGGTCTAGCACACCCCAGTGAAGGAGAAGGTCTGACACATCCCAGTGAAGGAAGAAGGTCTGAGACATCTCAGTGAAGGTAGAAGGTCTGACACCTCCCAGTAAAGGAAGAAGGTCTGACACATCTCAGTGAAGGAAGAAGGTCTGACACATCTCAGTGAAGGAGGAAAGTGACACATCCCAGTGAAGAAAGAAGGTCTGGCACATCCCAGTGAAGGAGGAAGGTCTAGCACATCCCAGTGAAGGAGGGGAAGGTCTGGCACACCCCAGTGAAGGAAAAGGTCTGACACATCCCAGTGAAGGAGGAAGACACCGTTGGTCATGGAGTAAGACTTGGTAAATCTTAGGCAGTGGGGCGGTGTAATCTGCTTCAGTCAGGGAGGTA